GATGTCAAGTACTAAAGTCCGATCCACTGAAGTGGGTAGTTTTAACCTCATTGTGCCCGTAGGACAGTTGAACCAAATACTTGTTTCTGACCTAGCCATGGAGATGTGGGCAGTCTGCTTTTTTCTGTTTCATCATTTTCTTTTATTTCTTAATAATATATCCTATATTTATATTTCACTTTTATCTGGTTTGAGTTAAGAGGTTCATTATCCTTTGGATAAGAAAAAGGAGAGCTGCGTATCATTGTATTAAGAAGAAGAAACAGGGGTTTAGAAACCCTATACAAAACACCACTCCTATGAGAACTCAAAACAGACACACAGAACAGACTGACTTGACAAAAAAACTAAGCTCCTGAGGGCGCAAGGGCGAGGAGATAAGAAACACCTCGAGCCCCAGCCAAACTCCAAAATCTCATCTCTTCTAAAGCAAGAGATGCTACATTGAGAAAAAGGTAGAAAGGTCAATATTACTTAGTTAGTTTTTTTTTTTTTTTTTTTTTGGAGGGGGTTGGCTTGCTCCATGATAAGGAGAATAAACATTTCTCAGGGACAAGTTCATGTGTCTCCCTCCTGTGCTCGAACTGTTGCACATGCTGATGCTCTTTCTCCATTCTGCACTTTTATGATGTTCTGTGTAATAACATAGGAAAAATCCAAATTACTCCCCCCAAGTTTGGATAACTCCCTAAATTAACATTTGGTTCGATTTACTCCCCTCAACTATTTTAGTCGATCCAATTTACCTAAATTAACATTTGGTTCGATTAACTCCCCTAAATTAACACGAACAAGTTTGAGTTTTAATTTCAAATTGTGTAGACATCATAACTCATTATTTTTTTAAAAATACATTATGCGTTTTTCGCCAGTATGTTTCATACAATTTTGTATTTCTAGTGTTAATTTATTATTAGATGGCCTAACCTATCAAAATAATGATAGAAATGTAGGAGTATGATGCATTTTTTAACATAATTTATGGTGTCAGCTATAACCTCATAAAATTTGAATTCAAAATCAACTTGGACGTGGAGAAACAAAAAAAATCTTGTGTAAATTGGACCAACTGAAATAGTTTAGGGGGGCAAACCAAACCAAATGTTACTACGTTAGTTTAGGGGGTTATCTGGACATAGGCCAAACTTAGGGGTAGTAATTTAGACCAGGCCAATAACATATGTATTGTTGACCTTGGTTTGTATACTTCATGTATACTTGAGCTTCATACTTTCTGTCATGGATTTTCCCCTCTCGACTCTGTCACATTTTTCTGCCTTTCTCATATTGTACTATTATAATCTATTATGATGTAGGATCTTTATTTATCTTATTGTCATGTATGGTTTTTCTCCAACAGAGACAAATCGACACTACACAGTTCATGCAGTCAGCTCCGTGGCTAGGACTGGTTCCAGAAAATGATGGGCAAGTGAAACATGCCTACTCAGATAATACTCCATTTACCACACTTTTAAGTGCTGCCACCAATGCTGTGACATCTAGCCCTGCGTGCCCAAATCCATCTACGTTTCTTGTCATGTCAAAGCAAGCTGAAGCTGCCAGTAAGTCCATATAAAACTTACTGTGCCATGTTGTCTAGTGATATTTGCACCAGATCGATTTTCTCAAGAAAAAAATGATAATTATTTGTGGGCTCTTGCCTTCCAGATCGTAGACTGGGCACGGAATCACTGCCTGTAATGTGGGGGAAAATGTTGTTACCTTTGATGAAACCAATTATGCTTAGGGCTTGGGCCTTACCTGGAAATAGATAGATCCCAGCCTAACCTTGTGATAAAACTAAAATCCAAACCACTGGATTGGAACCCCACCATCTTGGCCCATCCAAGAGGACTTGTGATTCCTTTTCTACTTTTTATTTACACTATTATCAGTTTGCATAACACTAATTTTTTGACAGGTCTGCTGTACAAATCAAACCTCAATTCTGGTAGTGTGCTGGAGTATGCTCTTGCATTCACAAGTGCTGCCCTGGATAGACACTATAGCAAATGGAGCGCAACTCCAAAAACAGGTTTTATTGACATTACTACTTCAAAGGATTTCTATCGCATTTTTAGCGGTCTTCAGTATGTAAGTAAACTCCATAGATTTTATCTATTATGTGTTTTCAGCTACTTACTAAAAACCTATTGTTAGAATTTCACATTCATTGTTATTCATTTGAATATAAATTGATTGATTGACTTGATGAAAACATGCTATTTGAGTTGTTTTCTCTCACATCAAGGATTGGCCAATACTTTCTAACTGAACACCAAACAGTTAGGGAGCTGGCTGCTGGTGGGTGTTTGGACAAGAAATTTTTAGGAAACTGAATATTTTTTATTTAGACACTTTGTCTTCTTCCATTTTGTGTTTTTTCCCCAGCATATGATGTAGCTTGAGCGCTATTTGTGCTTTATATTTTCCAGCTAGTGAGTGAATGTTAGACTTTTACTACTACTTCTTGTCTTCGAATTAACAGATCTCTCTTTCTCTCCCCTCCAGAGTTACTTAGAAGATAGCATTAACAATCCTTCAAAGAAACAGGAAATGCTCGGTGATTCTGTAGCATGGGCTGGCTGTACGATCATGTACTTACTGGGACAGCAGCAGCACTTCGAGCTTTTTGATTTCTCCTATCAATTTCTCAACGTGGCAGAAGTAGAAAGTGCGACAGTTTCACACTATCAATCTTCAGAGAGGACTAAAAGTTCAAATTTCTTGCAAGTAAGATAATTTTTCATTGTACTTATTTTGGGAGCTTCTGTTTTGTTATTACTTATGGTTTAGACCTACTACTTTTCTGTAGCTTTTAAATTTCATTTTTAACGTTTTTGTTCTTTCATGAGATCATGATATAGAATCAGGGACACATCCTTTGGCAAAACTAGGTGTAGTCCTAAAAGTTTCTCAAAAAAAAACTTGATGTAGGGAGAACATGTAAGTGGATTCATCTCTTTTTGTAAGGTATTGAAAAGACAAATTAATTTTGTATTTGTCTTTTTTCATAACTTCCTAATGCTGTTGTGTTTCACCTGAAAATTTTGAATGGGTGTGGAACATGCTTTTTTATGCATGGCAGTTACTCCCTACGTTCCAAATTATAGTTCACTTTGGGTTTGTCCTAAGTCAAAACTTCTCTTACTTTGACCAAGTTTATAGAAAAATACACCAACATCTACAACATCAAATTAATTTCATTAAATTATCACATGAAATATATTTTGACAGGAGAAATATATATTGAATAAATAAATGGTTAAACTGTAACTCGAGAGACCGTGCCATGTCAAATTTCCACTTGTAAACTGGACCGGAGGGAGTAGGTAACAAGTCGTCTTATCACATTACTACTTTATCTTCCAGGTTTTTATGCCTGGTCTGAAATAGTAATTTTATTAGATGCTTCATTTTTTTATTTGGAAATTCATTGCCCCATGTATGATGTCTTTGGAAAGTGCTACGAGGGCATCCTTGAAGCGATGAGGAAGGCTAGGAGGCTCAATAACCATGTTTTCTCGATGTTGAGGGCACGATGCCCCCTTGAGGACAAGGTTGCATGTGCGATCAAGCCAAGTGGGGCACCGGTTCACCGGATGAAGTTTATGAACACCGTTTCTGCATTCGAGACATTGCCACAAAGAGCCACCTAACCAGCTTCCAGGCAGATGTGCAGAATGTACTCTTGTATGTGGGGTTATATGTTATGTTGTAAGGTACATGTATATTATGTAGTTGCAATCACCAACGGTGAATCCTGGACTTGAATAACAGAATGTGCTTGCTTGCTGTATATGAAAGGTCTGTTGATCTCAAGAAAAGTTGACCCTGAGTTCTCAAGTTTAACTATCAATTTTGAGACTTTACCTCACTGAACTAAAAATGTACACAGTTGGAGAGTTGAGCCAAAAGACTCGTGCATGCTAGTTAACTGTTATTGTCATATGTGGATTTCTCAATCTGCTCGGAAAGTATATATATTTAATGTATGACATCAGATTAGCTTAACAAATTGTGTTATCTGAGAGCTCACTTCGACGTGCAGTCTTTATTAACCACTCGCCTCTCTTGCTCAATATCTCGTCGCAACATGCTTTACTAAATCAGTTGATCAAGCACATGCTGCCTCTTTGCTAAAAAATTTAGCAGAATAACGCTAATATCTTTGCAAACACGGGCACACGGCAGATAGGGGTGGCTCAATGTCCTATTGCGTGCTTTGACGATCATGCATCCTCATCTGGATTGACAGCCATCAGTCACAACGGCGTTTGCGCGATTGGTGTGGATTCTCCAGATTGTTTCTAGAAACATGAGAATCTCTATACTAAGCAAAAGGGCTAAGAAGCAGAAATGTATTCCGGATACATCCCTAATCTGCAGAAATATTTTCCGGATATACATCCCTAATCTCGCCATGCATTCCAGTTTGAGACTTGGGAAATCGTCCTGGGAACGGTCATCGGCATGTATGCTCTGGGTCAAGTCAAGCTTTAGCATTCAGCGTTAAAACCAAGATATTGGGATCAGCATGTGGTTCGCAGCTAGTCAGCCTTTTCGCTTGTTGGTTTCAGTCAGGGCTTATCAGCCAGCCAATAGTGTTTTCTTCTCACAACAAATCAACACCAGCCGGGTTTATCAGCCTAGAAATCCACCAGCGAACAGGCCGAGTATTGTTTTGAAGTGTTCTTTTTTTGCGATGAGGGCAGCTAATATTTCAGATTTCAGGCTCGTTGGTTCAGGTAGACCCACCTCAGTTCCTCACAGCTCAACTGCTTCACTCTTCCTCCAGACGTCCTTGGTCAGAACACACATGACAACTACTTCACTCATTCATTCATGCCTTGAGATGCATACTTGAATGCAAACATTCTTCAATGTACTATATAAAACCCTTGTCTCGTCAATCGTTTAACCACAGGAAAACAAAGAAAATATACACAGCTGATCGAGCTGCAGAAACGAGCACATCGAACCAACCAAAACCCAAGATGTCGAGCTTCTTCCCATTTCCAGCCGCTCCTCTCGCCGTTCTTCTCATCGTCACGCTCCACGCCTCCACCATCCATGCGCAGATACCTGCCTCGGCAACGACCGGCGCCGCGGTGGCCGCGACAAACCCGCAGCCAGGAGGCAGTGGCGGCGGCGTAGTAGGCGCGGGCGGGCCGGACGCGCCTCTAGAGCTCTACATGCACGACATCCTGGGCGGGTCGAGCCCGACGGCGCGGCCCATCACCGGCTTGCTGGGCAACATCTACAACGGGCAGGTCCCGTTCGCGCGCCCCATCGGCTTCAGCGCGCCCAGGAACGGCGTGCCGATCCCCAACGCCAACGGGCAGGTGCCTACGTACAACGGCAACACCGGCATCCCGCTGGACACCGGCCTGTCCGGCGCCGGGTTCCTGCAGCCAGGGAACGGCGCCGGAGGCGCGGCGGCGGCACCGGCGCAGGTGCAGCTGGGCCCCGACGGCCTCAGCCTCGGGTTCGGCACCATCACGGTCATCGACGACGTGCTGACGGGCGAGCCCGACCTCGGCGCGCAGCCGCTAGGGCGCGCGCAGGGCGTGTACGTGGCCAGCTCCGCCGACGGGTCGTCGCAGATGATGGCGTTCACGGCCATGATGGAGGGCGGCGAGTACGGCGACACGATCAACTTCTTCGGGGTGTACAAGGTGGGCACGCCGCTGTGCCGGCTGTCCATCACCGGTGGCACCGGCAAGTTCAAGGGCGCCTGCGGGTTCGCCGAGGTGCGCTCGCTCATCGCCTCCGGCCAGCACGTCACCGACGGCGCAGAGACGCTGCTGAGGATCACCGTCCACCTCGCTTCAGTAGTAACTCATCTAAAGTAGGCCAGCGCTTGTCGGCTGTCGACTGTCATGGCTGCACTGCAGTCGGACCTGCGCTGGTTGTTTCGGACGTGTTGAGGTCTTCGCCTCGTCGGTGCGTGCATGCATGTAGTGTTTGCGTCGGGTGGACGATGCTGTAACTGCAAAAGTTGTATTCGCCTCGTCCGCAGGGTGTACCACCAATTGTTGAATTAAAGCAGTATAAGATGTTGTGTGGTTTATACAAAAAAGATATATATATACACGCGCGCGCGCGCACGGACGTCCGATCCGGGCGCCGGAGTGAACGAGCGCCTAGCGCGTCGGGCTCGCGAGGGAGCGCGCCAGTAGTGGTTCCGCGCCGCCCCGGACGTCGTCTGCGCCGCCGGCCGCTTCCCACGCGCATCCCATGTGTCACACCCGATCTACCTTTGAAACATCCAGATGCAACAGTTGCAATATACAAAAGAAGACAGATGAAACACTTGAAACAAGCGTCTGAAACACTTGCGAAAACACGTTTGAAAAACATTTGAAAACCAAGCATATGCAACATCCAGATGAAACACATGCAAAACACTTGAAACATATGCTTGCAACATGCATGTATATGCAACATCTAGACAAAACGCTTGCAACATTCGTCTAGAAAAGATGAAATATTTGGAACATACACTTAAAACATAAGTATATAGCCACTACAACATGTGAAACATCCCAATCTACTTTTGCAACATCGATATACAACACTTGCAACAAACCTTAAAAACATCTGAAATACTTGAAACATACTATTGCAACATGCGCTTTCAGCGTAGCATCTAATTGCTGCTTGGACAGACTCGTCGACACGAAGCTCGAAGTCGCGGAGTGTCACTGAGGTCACCGGTGTGGAGCTCGTCGGTGGCATGGACCTCGGCAGGGACAGGCGGATGGAGCACGACTGCGACAGGAGGCGCGAGTCTAGGAGCGAGCACCTAGCGCGCGGCACGAACGAGGACGGGTCCGTCCCGCGAGCAGCGACGCGGGCAGGGGCAGCATGGGCGAGTGCAGGGTCTGTCCAGATGGATAGACGCCCTATAAAGAGCGTTATATATCGTGGACTTGCTAGGCGCGTTGGGCTCGCGAGGGAGCGAGTAGTGATCCCGCGATGCCCTATAAGGAGCGTTGTATATCACGAAAACCAGTGAACGTTTGGATTCTCACATCCATTTTCTTGCATTTTTGCCCCCACAAGCCAACAAGCCACAAGGCCACCGCCCGGGCGGCCACAAGTCCTCAGGCCGACGTTGCGCTGAGCCTCTCGCCACGCAAGCGCCGGCGCGGAGATGACCTGAGAACCTGTACTGTTGCTCACAATCTGATGACTCTGGAGTTTACCATGTGAGAAAGCAGCTGTGTTATGATCCTGAACTGTACTAGAATAAACGCTCTTTTGCAGTTTGGTCTAGATGCTCTGATGCTTGCTGCATTTGTGTAATCAATCATACGGGAGGCCAAAGGAAAACTGACCCCCGATTCCTGAACAGTTAAATAAAGGGGCAGTACACCATCTGAGGGTTCACTTTTACAGCGCGGCTACGAATGCCATCTGAGGCCTGCACGCTTACCGTACACCATATCAGATTTCATCGGATAAGCTAGCAAATTGGGAAACTGCATCCTCGAGGCGAGACAAGTGTGCAGCAAACCTATGCTTCAGCTCAGCAAAGTCCGCTTCATCAAAGGCGGACTCGCATTACCTTGAGACCGTTCTGCAGCATCGCCATCCCTTCACAGATACCATCTGGCATCTTCCTCTTCTTCGTGCTGGCATCCTTTGCGATGGGCGCCTTCTCAGGCTCAGAGACAACTGGAATTTCACAATAAGCTTCAACCAGCTTCTTCAGCGCTCTCCCCTCTGAAACCAGGAGCCGAATTTGCTCTTCAGACCATTTATCAGTGTGCAAGGCAACCTCTTTCTGAAGATAAGCTCTCAACCCCAGCATGAATCCGTTTTCATCTATGCTCGTCCCTGTGCTTGCATTGTACGAAAGGGCGGCATCTCCAGGAACAGATCTCCAGAGCTGTGTAAAGGATGTGCGGGCAGCAAAGTACCCAAAGGAATCCATTGAGAGGTGCATGAGTGCCCAATGCCGTTCCTTCAGCAGGAGATGATACAGATCACATATTGCAGAACAAAGTTCGTTAGCATCATCTTCGGTAATGTTCAAGTGACCGAGAGTTGACATAAAGGAAGTCATCGACGGTTTGCACTGAGACAGCACTGCATTTGATTTATCAGAAGTGGACAAGAACAGAGTGCGCAACTGCAGAGTCAACTGCTCCATCTCACTGAATGCGCAAAGATGCCTTGTGTTTGAGATAATAACCAACATGGAACTAATGTGCTTGGCAAGGTTATCCGTACTGCTATCTGGTGCAGTTCTATACATCTTTATGAGAGAGATGGTGAACTTAAACATAGCAGTGATGCTCTTCTCATCTACAATACTATCATCCTTTCTTACGCTGCCAAAAAAAAGTAAGGAGTGTGTAAGACAGCCATCATCATCAGAGTGAATAATACTGGTAGTTAGAGAATAGACTCACCAATGCTGCAATGTAGAGGCTAGAGCATGCACAGGAAGTCCTATCACACCCAAGCTAGAAGTTGGCACATCGATTACTCGATGGTTCTTGGTGTAGCTCTCCAGATAGCCAGCAAAAGAGGTAAACATTTTCTTCACAGCAAGTTCCTTTGTACCATCAGACAATGAACCCAAAGGAAATCCTTCCATCAGCAATGCTAAGTGTAAGATTGAAGACTTGGAAGAGTTTTCACCATTCAGCACACTAGTATATATTTGATCAACAGTTGCAGAAGATGCATAGCTCAAGATGATGCACAATGAACGTGCAACTTTCCGCAAAGCACTGAGAGGTGCAAGAACATCCTCTGGTGATGCAACAGTCTTTAATAGAAGGAAGACTTGATTAAGTAAATTAATTGAAGTCTCAGTTTCAGCATAACGCATGAAGAAACACCATAGCTCTGTAATAATTTCCAAGCAAAGGAAATGGGGATGGAAAATGTTTTCAAGTAAGAAAGCCTCCAACTCATTCCAAGCAGCACTTGAAGCAACAGTAGAAATCATAAAAGTCTTCAATGCTTGTATGATAGAAGTAAACACAGGTTGCCAAACAACTGCAGGAGAATGGTCTGCGCCATTGAAGGCAGGGATTTGGAAGCCAAGGACATAGGAGTAGATGTCTTCTGATGTCAAGATATTAAGAAGAGTCTGTAGCTTTTTAGATAATGCGATGACCACCATTTCTGCCAACCACGAGGAAGCATTGAGAAAGTGCAAAAACACAAGCAACTCAGCATGTAAAAGTGCTCTATTTCTATGATCCACATCTGAATCAGTAGAGAAAATGCAATCCAATGAGGACAAATTTATCTCTCTCTGATTAGCTTGTCCCATGTGATCTGGACTCTTAGCTTCTTCGTTTTCAAAAAAATAATGTGCAAGCTGGCATTTGGATTCTGGTGTTAAGTCAGATGACTTCATAAGTGCATCTAGTAAAACAAATAAAGTAGGCTCCAACAATTCAGCAAGTGCCTCATTTGCTGCTTTCAACTGTGGCTTCTTGCTAAATAGAATGCTTGAGGATGTGATCACCAATGCACAATTGATTATGTTCTTGTATATAATCATTGCTTCAGATGGATATATTGAACAAATCCTTACAGCATTTATTAAGAAAAACTTGATTGGTAGGAATGTCCTTCTGGCTTCAGTGGCACCAAGGGTTTCTAGTAACGGCGTGCACCATGTTTCAGCAGCAACTCTTAGAGATTCTACTGATAGAGATAGAAGGGTTACAATGATTTCTCTGACATTTACTTTTCCTTCAATCATCCCTTTACCACTTTGCAGTAAGGAGACTACACCCTTCCATGATGCATTCAGTAAAGTCACCTGGCTTCCACCACTGGATGCTGCATAGATTCCCAATCTACACATAGTCTGAATAGCGGATGATGTAATCCTGGTGACATCACTAGCAAGACCTTGTTCGTTGTGTTTCACAGTAGCATCTTCATCGGTTATACTCATTGTGCAGTTATCTACTTTTGCAGCCTCAGAGTATGCCCGGCATAGCTTAGTTATTTCATCTAGAAAAACAGGTGCAGCCTTAGCGATATCCGGAGCAGCTCCATGAATTTTCTGTGATCATATATCCATCAGAGAGATTATACAATAACATCGTTTTTGCAGGACTAATATTGCATGAGTTTGAAAAGAACACCACTACCTCATATTGATATGATCAGAGTATGCTGATAAAATATATGAATACACAAGTCTAGGAAGCTCGTTTCAATGATGAATTTCCAATATTTCATATAGCATCCCGTTTGAAATTGCTAAAAGATATGCAAGTAATCTGAATATGAGCATAATATGAGAGGTAACAAATTTAATTTAATAAGCAGCATGTCAATTACTATAACTTTCCGTTTGATTTAACATTTAAACTACTTTCAGGAATGCGATAATAGCTATGAAAAGGTAACACATAATTACCTACTAAAATAAGGTTAAGCAAAGTCTGACTGAAATTATACACATATATGCAGCTGAGGAACTGATTAGCAAACGGAATTAAAATGAATTATTTCTCAGTAAATTATCTTTGACTTATACAGGATATATTGCCACTGGCTTTGCCAGATGAACAAGCTAATTCTAACACTGTACAAGATAAAAGTTTACCTTGTCGTTGTCAACTATTGAGCTTTCCATAAGACTTAGCAACTCTGAGATAAAATCACCAATATTATGCACCATATCTACAGTAACACATTTTGCCGCGGAAGGAAGGATCTTGATTGAGATATTTAAGGCCATTGAAATTATCTAGAACCAAGAAACTGCATTTCTATTAGATTTATCTTCAGATAATCACTACCACTCTACCAGAAATGGATAAAGGATGTAACGGAATTCCATATGCTGTAACAAGAAGTATAAAAT